CCCGGGTTCGATCTTCAGCACCACATACAAACAAAGATGTTGTGTCCACTGAAAACTAAAAAATAAATATTAAAATTCTCTCTCTCTCTCTCTTTTTTTTTTTTTTAAAAAAAAAAGAAAAGAAAGGGCACAATGACATGGACCTCTTGGTTTGATATACTTGCCGCAGTCTGGCTGGGCACAAAATCATGAGCCACTTAAGAAGGAACAAACTTTATTTTTGAAACTCCCCACCAATGCCCCATATGCTGGGGAGTTGGGGGAATGCCAACCGACACACGTGGTGTTCTCCCAGACCCTCCAACAGGAAATCCCTCCTCCGGAATTCCCTCCTACCACACTTCCCCAACCAATGGGAACTCTCCAGTAGTCCCAAAGCAGGTCCAGGTGGACAGCAGGTGTCTAATAGCCATATGAATGCAGATCTTAACATAATCATATCATCTCAATGGCTTGCTGGCGTCACCTTTCAACCAAAAATGCCATGCATCATACTACTTGGCTATGGCTCTTAGCAGGTACTGGACAAGGTAATGGTTGGGAAAGCCCACCACAGTTTCTGAAGCAGAATAAGAACCAATAAGCATGGAATCCCACCAGGAAGCACCCATGGCTGTGCACCCAGATCCCCCTCAAGACTGGGTTAATAGGAAGTCGGACCCTGCAGGCTGCCCTTGAGTGCCAGGCGCCCTAGCACAGCTTGGGGGCTCAGGAAGCCACCTTCCCAGCCACCAAGTGGTTCTCTCCCGTTACGTGGGCCTCTCCTTCTCTACGTGGGCCTCTTCTTCTCTGCCTGGTCCTCAGTCCCCCTGTCTTGGGAGGTGGTGACCTCTGAGAGGACTTCTCAGTTCTGAGTACCTTGACCCAGTGACTTGACTGGTCTGTGGTGGGAGGGACACACAGTCATGATGTGCCTGTTATGAAATTCAGCAGGGAAGTGTCCATCTGAACTACCACAGAGAGCAATTCTGTTCCCCTAAGACTTAGATCTTGGAGTCGGATAATGCCTGGGTTCTAAGGGGAGCCTTGGAGACCCACATTCTCTCTGGAGCTCTGTAGGGAAAGGGAAGGGGTAAATCTGGGCAGGCGTTTGAGGATCTGTTAGAATTTTGCAAAATGCAAATCAGACTGTCACTGTCTAAGTTCCCAAATCAAGTCACAATGGTGCCTACGCTCTCTCAGGACAGCCAGGACACGGACCTCCTGTGGCAACTGTCTTCGGAGAAACCTCAACAACCGAGCCTCTCCCCCGGACAGATGGCGGTGGCTGCCACTCCTACTTCTTGACACACACTGCTGTACCTTTGAAGTGCTCACGGCCCCATGCTTGGTTGCTCCAAGTCCTCCAAGAAGCTTAAGGTTCAGGGTGACAGGATTTGTCAGGCTCCTGTTGAGGGCTGAGGGAGTGGGTGATAGGAGTTGAGGAAGGAGACCCGCTACAGACATTCTACAGAGAGTCACCTCTTTAAATGTGGTTATTCTAGGTGCCTCACCTAAGTGAAGTCAGATGCCATCTGCCCTTGCGTGCCGGGCTTGGTTCCCCTTCCTCCACGTCCACTCACCTTGCAGCGTAAGAATTCCCTCCCTTTTAAAGGCTGAATAATATTCCCTTGCATGTGCCTGGCACTTTGGTTTGGCCATCTGTCCACTGATGGCCACCTGGGTTGCTTCCCAGCTTCTGTGAGGAACTCTGGGACGAGCTGCGTATTCTGATGTGTCTCGGAGGCTCTCGTATCAACTCTTTTGTGAACTTGCCCAGGAGTGACATCAATCCTGAACCATGCTGAGGCAATACCTGTACCATTTGGCTGCACCCTTTGGACCCCACCAGCAGAGCTGGGGGATCCTATTCCTCCGCCTTTGCCAACACTTGTTATTTTCTGGTTTTGTAGTTTTTAAAAATCGCCGTCCAAATGGCATCTCCAAGAGTTCACAGCATTTTAAGCACTCTGGCAGTCCTCAAAAGCCACTCTCAGCCGCTGCCCAGCAAGTGTCCCTTGAGTGCGGAGGGCTCTCGGAGGCCCTCTGCCCTAGGGCTGGCGGCCCATCTGCCACCTTTAAAGCGCACCATGCTGCCCCTCTTCTGTAAGTGTGGGGGCACAGGGCAAGTATCGGTTCCCTAGAAACAGGGCAAGTATCGGTTCCCCTTCGAACAGCCTCAAGCCGAGGCTCAGGGCTTCTTGAGAGGGGGCTGCAGGGGGAGCAGCAACCCGTGTCCAAAAATCTTCATTCAGAATGGTCCTTCCGGGTTGGCCCCTCACCGATCCTCTCACCCAGGCAGCTACGGGTGTGCACAGGCCACTTGGGGCCTGCAAAGGCCCCAGTGCCCTTCCCTGGAGCCAAGCCCATGCAGCCCGCATTCCTGCGCCTGAGGCTGGCAGACCTGGGGGAGCCGCGGTTTCCCAGAGTCCATGAATCACTGTAAGCAGGTGAGGTCACCAGTGGGGTCAGGGCAGCGGCTCTGGAGTCGCAATAAAGTTTGGAATCTGAAATCAAGGCCTCCTCGTGCTCAGGAAATCGAACAGCTGCCCACAAAGGTGTCTGTAGACAAACTCTCTGTGGGTCACCCGCCTGTGCGTGCAGTGACCCAGTGACTCACCCTCTAAAGAGCGCTTTTGGCCACTGTGACTGATTTACCAGCAGGTCCCCAAGGCTCATGTCAGGCTGCAAGATTGACACAGAGACCCAGGCAGACTTCCAGATAAGATCTCACGGTCAGGGCTGGCGCAGGGGTGGGGACAAAGGGCTCAGGAGTGTCCCCTCCCCATGGAGTGTAGAGTGTGTGTTCCGCCTTCCCTCCCCAGGCGTCCCATGGCTCTGTGCAGGATGCAGAACTCACTGTTGCTGAAGGGGCACAGCCTCATTCCCCGGCAGCCCTGGGAGGGACCCCCACACCGTGGGACGAGAGTGACTGTGAAGGGAAAGATTGGGGGCTGAGGACTGAGGAAGGGCTGCAGGCAGGGTTCCTGGGAGATGCAATGACATGTCCCAGCAGAGGTGAGAGCTGGGTGAAGCTTAGAGGACAGCCCACGTGCAAAGGCACTGTGACGTTCCTTCAGGGGCCCTGGGCACAGAGAGGAGGATGAAGGAAGAATGTCTGGCACATGAAACGTGGTGACGCCAAGGGACACATCAGTGAGACACGGCAACATCGGAGCTGGAAGTGACAGGCTGCGATTTGGGTTTTGAGATGACTTGGGTAAAAGGGTGGAGAGCCGGGCAGACTTCAGGCAGGAGGACTAGTGAAGAAGCTGTCCCGTGGGCAGGAGACCTTCCGTGTGGGGATAAGTGCATAGAATACTTTATACATGGCATACAGTAAGGACTCTGGGTGGCAGGCCACTCCCCTGTGCTAGGGCTGTGAGCAGCAGGCCGCTTATCCCGTAGGCACAGACCTGGGCATGAGGTCATGTGTTGCAGTCCCTGTGCTTGCTCCACAGCCCACTCCTCGATTGGTGGCTGCAAGGACAGTTAGCAGACATTGCATTGGTGGCTGCCTGTAATCAGCTTAGCTGCTGCCTGAGTATATATACATGGTAACTGCACAATAAAATCAGACCTGCTTCCTGCTTGGTCTCTGGAGGTCTTGATTTGCGACTGCAGCCCCACTCTCCTCTACCCTGTTCCATGGACCTCCTCAATAGGTGGGAGAGAGCCCATGCCCCTCGGAGGGTGGGAGCAGAGAGGGAGCCAAGAGACCAGATTAGAAGAGCATTAATGGAGCTTCCTTGGTAATGACAGGGATGGGAGGGAGGGGAGGAGTCTGGACACCTGGGGAGCTGGCCCCACCTCCACCTGGGCCAGGGAGGATGTGGGGAAGGGAGACCATGGCCCTAGGGATGGCAGGGAGACCTGCAGTGGTGTGAATACAGTGTACCCCCCCAACACTCACGGAGTTGAGTCCTCAGTGGGTAAACGTGCAGTGGGTGGAAATGTGATTCTACTGCAGTGTTCAGAGGTGGGGCCTCTGAGATGGTTAAGATTAGGGAAGATCATCAAGATGGAGCCGCATGTTCAAATCCTGGAGTTCAATCATGAAGACCCATGATTGAATTCAGACCACGATATGCATATGCTTATGTTCCCTGTCCCACCTTGTGATCTCTCTGTTTGGAGGCCATCCCCTGTGAGGTCCTCACCAAAGCCAAATTGATGCCAGCACCACAGCCTTGAACCACTGGAACTGGGAGTTAAATGAAACTTTTTTTTTTTTATAAAGTTACTTAGCCTCAGGTATTTCATTATACTCCCAGAAAATGGACTAGTACAGGTCTGTTAAAACAGGGGGATGATATTGTTTCACAGAGCCATCATTCAAGGGCCTGTGATGCTTGCTGAGCAGTTGCAAGATGTCACACGTGGGGAGCCCAGCGCATGTGCCTAAGGTGACCAAATCTTAGAGTCCTGCAGTCAATGAACAATTATAAAACAAAGTGCAATTAATCTGAGCTCTCATTTGTGGATGTGTGTTCTTGTCTGGTGACCTGGAACATGTTTTAACAACCCAGAGAGAGGCCAGCCATCCTGGCAAGACACATTTCCCAATTTCCTTCCACATGAAGAGGTGTCACATCCCACGACTAAACACTCAGGGTCACCCCAGGTGAACTGGGCTGCACAAAATAATCACACAGAGATGGAGAAATAACTTTTTTGGGGGGTTCTGTGATGGCTCCTCTGACCTAGGTCTTCTGGATGTCCTAAAGCACTGCTACATGGCACCAGAGCTCATAGTTCTTTCCATATGCCATGCCCCGGTGCCGCTTTGCATCATTACTCTTGGGCTTTGGGCTATTATTAAGTCAAATAGGAGTTACTTAAACACAAGTTCTGCTATAACATGACAATAACCGAGACAACCGCTAAGTGACTAACAGGCAGGTAGTGCATACAGTGTGGACACACTGCACAAGAGTTGCTTCCTAGTGGGCAAGGAGCAACCACCCAAGATTTTAGCTCACTACTCAGAACAGGGCACAATTTTAAACTGGAATTGTTCATTATTTCAGAAATTATTCATTTAATATTTTCAGGCTTCAGGCAACTAAAACTGGGAAATAAAACTGCGATGACGAGGGGCTACTGCATCCAATACTCTGAGCCTCAAGAGCTCACCTTGTCCAGTGGGGATAGCAGTGGTCACTGTAGGCTTGGTAGCAGAGCTGTGCAGCCCAGAGGGCTAGCAGACCAGCTCTGGGGTACGTAGCCCTAGCTTGACTCTTAGATGCTGGAGACCAAATTCTTTGCCACCTTCCTCGGCAGGAATGTTAGCAGCATCAGGCTTATCAGTTATTGTCAGGTCTGGATGGGCTAAAACACCAAATAGGCAGCACAGTGCCTGCCTCCTCATCAGCATCCCTGAACCTCAGATGCTATCATCATCATCCACAGAAGTTACATACACAGAGTTCACAGCACTTAGTAAGTGCCCAGTAAATTATAGAATTCCCACCCCCATTGTTGATAAGTGTTGAAGGTTCTTTTCTTACACAATTTGCTGCCCGCACCTTGTTTACCAGCACACCTAATCAGACAAGAATGCACCACTGCATGCAGGGTCATGGAAAATCCAGAAGCAAAAGTCCCTGAGGTGGGGGAAGCCTATCCCAGACCACAGAAGCGGCAGAAACGGACCCAGGGCCACCACATTGGACTTCCAAAGTGTTTGTCCTCTTCCTCCGCGAGTTTTGCCCCTCTGAACCTCAGTGTCCTCTTCTGTGAAGTGGGATCCTCTCAGTTCATAAGACCACAGTGAAGGCAGTGAGCATGTAGAATGGTCTAGACTCAGTTCTCCAGGAACAAAGGCTAAGGCAGAGTGGTGGGGTGTGCGGTGGTTAATTCTGGAGTCAGCTTGCCTGAGGGTTGGTCCTGGAGACATCTGTGGAGCAGGGTGGGCGGGAGGATCTGTCCTCAATGAATGTGGCCCTGGATAGAAATGGAGCAAAGAACAAGCATTAACACCCTCTGGCTCTGTCTCCTGAGCGGGAAGCCCATCTCCTCCTGACCCTGGTCACCAGGATACCAGGTTCTTTGGCCTCTGGACGCTGAGTCCCAGATCAGCAGCTCCAGGTGGCTCTCAGGATGCGGGTGTCCGGCTGGGGACTGTCCCATCCATTGCCTTTGCTGGTTCCCAGCTGGGACTGACCATGCTACTGACTTTTCTGATTCTTCAGATCACAGATGGCCTGTTAGGAGACCTCTGCACTCCAGGATCGTGGGTGGTGTCACCTCCAACAGAGTTCCCCACATGCATCCTACCGGCTCTGTGTCTCTGGAGAACAAGATCTTGGATGCAAGATGTTCTCTAGGAATCAACACCTGGGACAGGAAGGAGGGGTAGCAGACGAGGTAGAGAGAGCAGAGCCGCTGTGCCCCGGCCTGAGGAAGCTGGGGTCACCAGGGCGGGGGCTCTGGGTGCAGATTGTCCATCAGAGCATCCTATGTCTAGCTGTTGACCCCTGCCTTGCTCTGCCACCGTGGGCTGCACTGGGAAGGCTGTGACCTCCAGTGACCAGGCTCTCTGCTGCTGAGGTGGACCCTGAAGAAGATGAGAGCAGGAGGCCACATCAGTCACAGCTGCCTGGCCTGTTCTGCCTTGAAGGGTGTCTGGGTGGCCCTGCTGCTCATCTCCGCCCAGGAGACATGCTGGTACTAAGGGTGCTAAGGGCACTAAGGTCACTAAGGGTACTGTGGGTACTAAGGGTACTAAAAGTACTAAGGGTACTGAGGGTAATAAGGGCCTTAGTCTATATTCAATGTGTTACTAGAATATTAGCAATTGCTGTTGCCAGATCCCTCCATGGTGAGCTCCGAAAATGTCTCCCTTTCCTACTGACTCTGCAGAAGGGCCTTTAGGGGTCTCACTCCCATGGCCAGGCCCTCTGCATGCCTGCTTCCTTGAAGATGTGCCTTACCTGCCCACTGTGGTGGGGGGGCTGTGGTCTGCCAGCTCCTAGTGTCCGTTGGCCTCTGAAGGTTTCAGTGGGCAAAATTCTACAACCTGGAATAAACCATGGTCGGGGCACATGTGGAGTGTTCCTTTCACCCTGGCCACTGTACACCCCTGAAGGCCATCAATCCAGCAACACCAGACCCCCTGGGCTAGCGCTCCCAAGTCAGAGCTCGCCACATCGAGCCCACAGGGCAGCGATCCCCTGTCTCTGTCCCCAGGCTTGCCCTCTTTGGAGTTCATCAAAAATACCAACATTTTCTCTTTTCCCCCCTCAAATGGTTTGGGCTTGAGAAAACCCCAAGCAAAAGCTACCAAAATATTTATATTATTTCGTTTGTGCCCAATTTAATGCACATGTTTCTCGTTGGCTCACGTTAGCTCCTCCAGTGCCG